CATAGAAGCTGTACCTAAGTACACTTACACAAGTTATCACACAGAAGCTGTACCTAAGTACACTTACACAAGTCATCACATGGAAGCTGTACCTAAGTACACTTACACAAGTCATCACATGGAAGCTGTACCTAAGTACACTTACACAAGTTATCACACAGAAGCTGTACCTAAGTACACTTACACAAGTTATCACACAGAAGCTGTACCTAAGTACACTTACACAAGTCATCACATGGAAGCTGTACCTAAGTACACTTACACAAGTCATCACATGGAAGCTGTACCTAAGTACACTTACACAAGTTATCACACAGAAGCTGTACCTAAGTACACTTACACAAGTTATCACACAGAAGCTGTACCTAAGTACACTTACACAAGTCATCACATGGAAGCTGTACCTAAGTACACTTACACAAGTCATCACATGGAAGCTGTACCTAAGTACACTTACACAAGTCATCACATGGAAGCTGTACCTAAGTACACTTACACAAGTTATCACACAGAAGCTGTACCTAAGTACACTTACACAAGTTATCATACAGAAGCTGTACCTAAGTACACTTACACAAGTTATCACACAGAAGCTGTACCTAAGTACACTTACACAAGTCATCACATGGAAGCTGTACCTAAGTACACTTACACAAGTCATCACATGGAAGCTGTACCTAAGTACACTTACACAAGTTATCACACAGAAGCTGTACCTAAGTACACTTACACAAGTTATCATACAGAAGCTGTACCTAAGTACACTTACACAAGTTATCACACAGAAGCTGTACCTAAGTACACTTACACAAGTTATCACACAGAAGCTGTACCTAAGTACACTTACACAAGTTATCACACAGAAGCTGTACCTAAGTACACTTACACAAGTTATCACACAGAAGCTGTACCTAAGTACACTTACACAAGTTATCACACAGAAGCTGTACCTAAGTACACTTACACAAGTTATCACACAGAAGCTGTACCTAAGTACACTTACACAAGTTATCACACAGAAGCTGTACCTAAGTACACTTACACAAGTCATCACATGGAAGCTGTACCTAAGTACACTTACACAAGTCATCACATGGAAGCTGTACCTAAGTACACTTACACAAGTTATCACACAGAAGCTGTACCTAAGTACACTTACACAAGTTATCATACAGAAGCTGTACCTAAGTACACTTACACAAGTTATCACACAGAAGCTGTACCTAAGTACACTTACACAAGTCATCACATGGAAGCTGTACCTAAGTACACTTACACAAGTCATCACATGGAAGCTGTACCTAAGTACACTTACACAAGTCATCACATGGAAGCTGTACCTAAGTACACTTACACAAGTTATCACACAGAAGCTGTACCTAAGTACACTTACACAAGTTATCATACAGAAGCTGTACCTAAGTACACTTACACAAGTTATCACACAGAAGCTGTACCTAAGTACACTTACACAAGTTATCACACAGAAGCTGTACCTAAGTACACTTACACAAGTTATCACACAGAAGCTGTACCTAAGTACACTTACACAAGTTATCACACAGAAGCTGTACCTAAGTACACTTACACAAGTTATCACACAGAAGCTGTACCTAAGTACACTTACACAAGTTATCACACAGAAGCTGTACCTAAGTACACTTACACAAGTCATCACATGGAAGCTGTACCTAAGTACACTTACACAAGTCATCACATGGAAGCTGTACCTAAGTACACTTACACAAGTCATCACATAGAAGCTGTACCTAAGTACACTTACACAAGTCATCACATGTAAGCTGTACCTAAGTACACTTATACAATTTGTGTAATAAAAAAGAGAAAAGTGGGCAGTAGCGCGGGCAGGAGGATCAACTGGCTGCTGGGGACAGACCTCCCTGTAATTATTAATATTAAAGGCTAAAATTCCACCTAGATTAAATTATAGATTATTCCTTATCTGCAGGTTTAGGGTTATAGGACAGAGAGAGAGAGAGAAGGAGAGAGGAGAGAAGAGAGAGAGAGAGAGAGAGAGAGAGAGAGAGAGAGAGAGAGAGAGAGAGAGAGAGAGAGAGTGAGAGAAACACGCTGACAGATAAATACTTCCTTTTAAGACGTCTTGTGACCGTTCTTATTTATTGTTGTGAGGGAGAGGGAAGAGAGAGGGGGAGGGAAGAGAGAGGGGAAGAGAGGGGAAGAGAGAGGGGAAGAGATAGGGGGAGAGAGAGGGGGAGAGAGAGGGAGAGGGAAGGCGTGGGGCACAATATATGGATGGAAGGAGACGAAGATGATGATGACGATAATAATAATAATAATAATAATAATAATAAAAAAATTTAAAAAATTAAAAAATTTAAAGAGGTAATATAATTTTTAGCGATAACCGAAGAAGCGGAGAGGGAGGGGGGTTATTGCCTGAAGGAAAATTGAATATCTCCGCAGTGTGTGAACCCCTTCTTATTTTGAGGAAACAAAATGGTTGGAGTGAAAAAAGGGGTTTGAAAGCAAGGGCAAGAGGAAAGGAAAAGAGGAAGGGGGGAGAAAATTGTGAGAGGGAAAATGAAAAGGGAAAAAAGGAAGGGGAGAGGGGGGGGGGAAAGGGGGAAGTGTAACCCCCAGTGGGGGAAGGTTTTTAAACCCCCTGTTTCATTTTAGGTAAAAACCGACCACAGGGTGGGTAGCTCCCGGGCCTCCTGCGTCTCCCTTTTTTTTTTTTTTTTAAAAAAAACCACATTTTGGGGGGAGTTTTTTTGTTTTTTTTTTTTTTTTTTTGGGGGGGTTTTTCTAATCCTTGGGTTGTGTGTGTTTTTGGTGTTTTGTGTGTGTGTGGGGTTGTGTGTGTGTGTGTGTGGTGTTTTGGGGTGGTGTGTGGGGTTGTGTGTGTGTGTGTGTGTTTTGGTGTGTTTTTTGTGTTGGTGTGGGGTGTGGTTTTGGGGGGTTGTGTGTGGTGGTTTGTGGGGTTGTGGTTGGTTGTGTGTGTGTGTGTGTGTGTGTGTGTGGGGTGGTGTGTGTGTGGTGTGTGTGTGTGTGGGTGGTATGTGTGTGGGTGGTTGTGTGGGGTGGGTGTGTGTGTGTGGTGTGTGTGTGTGTGTGTGTTTTGTGGTGGTGTGTGTGTGTGTGGTGTGGGGTTTGTGTGTGTTGTGTGTGTTGTTGGTTGGGGTGTTGTGTGTGTGTGTTTGTTGTTGTGTGGGTGTGTGTGTGTTGTGGTGTGTGTTGTGTTGTGTGTGTGATGTGTTGTGTGTTGTGTGTGTGTGTGTGTGTGTGGTGTGTGTGGTTGTGTGTGTGAGTTTTGTGTGTGTGTGTGTGTGGGGTGGGGTGTGTGGGGTGTGTGTGTGTGTGTTTTTGTGTGGGGGTGTGTTTGTGTGTGTTGTGTGTGGTTTGTGTGTGTGTTGTGGGTGTGTGTGTGTGTGTGTGTGTTTTGTTTTGGTTTGTGTGTGGTGTGGTGTGTTTTTGGGTGTGTGGTATGTGTGTGGTGGTGTGTTTTGTGTGTTTTGTGTGTGTGTGTGTGTGTGTGTGTTTTGTGGTGGGGGTTTGGGGTGTGGGGTTTTTGGGGGTTGTGTTTTGGGGTTTGTGTGGGGGGCTGTTTTGTGTGTGTGTGTGTGTGTGTGTGTGTGTGTTGTGTTTTGTTTTGTGTGTGTGTGTGTGGGGTTTTATTGTGTGTTTTGGTATGTGTTGTTGTGGTTGTGTTGTGTGTGGGTTGGTTTTGTGTGTGTGTTTTGTGTGTGTGTTGTGTTTGTGTGTTGTGGGTGTGTGTGTGTGTGTGTGTGTGTGTGTGTGGTTTGTGTGTGTGTGGGGTGTGTGTTGGGGTGTGGGGTGTGTGTTGTGGGTGTGGTGTGTGTGGTTGGGGTGGTGTGTGTGGGGGTGTGTGTGTGTGTGTGTGTGTGGGTGTGGGGTTGTTTTGTGGGGGATGTGTGTGTGGGTATGTGTGTGTGGGGTGTGTGGTGGGGTGTTTTGTGTGTGTGTGTGTGTGTGTGTGTGTGTGTGTGTGTCTGTGTTTTGTGTGTGGTTTATGTGTGTGGGGTATGTGTTTTTTTTGTGTGTGTGTGTGGGGTGTGTGTGTGTGTTTTGTGTGTGTGTGTGTTTGGGGTGTGGTTGTGTGTTTTTGGTGTGGTGTGTGTGTTTGGGGTTTGTGTGTATGTGGTGTGTATGTGTGGTGTTTTGTGGGGTGTGTGGGTTTTGGGTGTTTGTTTGTGGGGTGTGTGTTTTGTGTGTGTTTTGTGGGGTTATGTGTGTGTGGGGTTTATGTGTTTTTTTATGTGTGAGGGGGTTGTGTGTGTGTGGTGAGGGGTGTGTGTGTGCGTGCGTTGCGTGTGTGTGTGTGTTGTGTGTGTGGGGTGTTTTGTGTGTGTGGGTGGGGTGGTGTTTTGTGGGTGTGTGTGTGGGGTGGTGTTTTGGTGTGGTGTGGGGGTTTTTTGGGTGTGTGTGGTGTGGGGTGTGGTGGGGTGTGGGGTTTGTGTGTTGGGTGTTGTGTGTGTGGTGTGTGGTGGGTTGTGTGTTGTGGTTTGTGTGTGTGTATTTTTGTGTGTGTTGTGTGTGTTTTGTGTTTTGGTTGTGTGTGTGTATGTGTGTGTGTTTTGGTGTGTGTGTGTGTGTGTGGTCCCTTGGTGCGTGCGTGCGTGTGTTTTGTGTGTGTGTGTGTGTGTGTGTGTGGGGTTTGTGTGTTTTGTGTGTAATTTGGTGTGTTTTTGTGTGGCAAAAAAAACCCCAATGTAAAAGAATGGGGAAATTCTAAGCGCTTTTCGTGATTCTCCTTTATCAAGGAACTGTATCTGGTGGGTTTGTGTGCTCACGGGTCTTTTTGGTTTAAAAATGGTGGGTGTGTTACCCTTGGGTCATGCAGAGTACTTTGGGGAGGTGGGGTACCCCAGGGGTTTAAATTTTGATTTACATCGGGTTTGGGTGTGTACTTTTGGGGTCATGCAGAGTACATATGGTGGGTTTGGTGTTTTCAGGGTTTGATGCAGGGAGAGGTACTTTTCGGGTTTGGTGTGTACTACGGGTCATGCAGGGAGAGTACATCTGGTAGGTTTTGTACTAAAGGGTTTCATGCAGGGGGAGGTACTTTGGGTTTGGTGTGTATCCCCCGGGTCATGCGGGGAGGTAAAATTTGGGGGTTTAGGTGTGGGTATCCCTCCCTTTTTGTATAGAAACAGTTTCCCCCCGGTTCAGGGACGGTTTCTTAAAAATGACCGGGAAAGTATCTCGGAGCAAAGCCTAAAATGAACTTTACAGAATTTAAAAAAATATCGTAAAATTTTAACAACAAGTTTAAAAATATTAAGGAATATAAATATAAGATAGTCAAAATTATTTTTGCATAAAAATATAGTTTTCGACTAGTTTGTATTATCTAAAAAGGGTTTAAAAACGACAATACTGCACGACCCCTTTTCGATGGGACCCCTTGCCACCCCCTTTTTAGGGGGGGTTTTGGTGTTTGAGCCCGAGCCTTTAGCTAAAAGGGATGTCATTCCCATTTCCCCCCTTTGGGGGGGGTTGGCGGGACCGGGAGAGGCCAAAGCTTGTGGTTGGGCCGGGGGGACGGGGGTTTTCCCAAAAGGGATGAGGAGGTACTTGTCCCTCCCCCCAGGGGGAGCTTAGGTTTTCGGGGACATCCAAAAAAGAGGGACCCAAAGGGCCCGGGCCACCACTTGGAAAAGGCAGGGGGGGGGAAAAACCCGGGGCAAATTTTTTAAATAATAAAAAATAAAAACCCAAAAGGCCCTTCTGGGGACGGGGGGAAGGGCCAGGGCCGGAGTTTTGCAATCACCTGGGGGGGGAAAGATGGCAGCCAGAGGCTTAATTTATCCCTATGGCCCCGTGAGGGGGGGGGAAAATGGGGCTGGGCCCGGGGGAAACGGGTTGGTCACAGATGGGGAGGTGGGGTTCCTCTTCCCAGGGGGAAGCGTAGGTTCAAGACACTCCAAAGACAGAGAGCAAGGCGGGGGTCCCATCGGGGAAAAGATTTGGGGCCCTAGGACCCTTTAACCGGTGAATCAAGGGAGGTTGGATGAAATGGATATTTTAACTATAATTTTTTTTAAGGGTGGAGTGGTATCCCCAGTGTAGGCCCCCCCCCCCCCGGTTTCAGATGCCCAAAAAAACCCCAATTTGGGGAATTCATTTAACTAAGACCAGCCCCAGGAAACGCTTGTCCAATTTCCTGCAAACCTTACCCCCCCCAGGTATTTTTATTAGTGTGACTTTGAAAAGGGTAATTCGGACCAAAAGTCGTGGGTAAGCTCCTATGTGCAGGTTATTTGTGCAGAGAGGGGTTTGGAGTGTATGTACACACGGGGAAGTGACAGTGGGGGGGGGAAAACCCGGGGAAAACGCGGCTTCGAGAGTAAAAACATGCTAAGGCACAAGATGCCAAAACGTAAAAGGGGGATCTAGGAGGCTGGACCAGGGCAAAAGTCTCAAACCCTAAAAACAAAAAATGGTGGTACCAACATGCGCCCCCTGAAAACCCCAAGTAGGTGAGTACACCCCAACACAACACACACACACCACACACCACACACACAAAACACACACCCCCCCCCCCCCCACACAAAACCTCACTCAAGGAGAAAGATTTTGGGGGTGAGTATAACACCGGCATGTTTTTGGGAAAACCCCACACTAAATCGGAAAAACGGGCTGCAGAATTGGGCGCCGGCCAAACCCTTGGAACACCCATTCCGTTTCCTTAGTAAGGAATCATTCAAGACACTGTAAAACCGGTGTATGTCGGGCCCCCTTACGGGGAGTATGCAGACCTGTTTTGGGAAAACCCCACTTGATAAAAACACGGGAAGAAACTAGAGAAAGTACAAAAGGTTTTTCAAAAGGTTTTGTTCCAGAGCTAAGGGGGAATTTTTATGAAGAAGATTAAAGGGGGTCGGGGCCCGCGACAAATGGAGGAAAGGGGGGTCAGGGGGACATGATAACGACATATAAAATACTGCGTGGGAAAAGAAAGGTGGACAAGGACAGGGGGTTTTCCCCGGGAGGGGGCAAAGAAACAAGAGGCCAAATTGGAAATTGAAAACACAAAGAGTCAGAGAGATGTAGGAAGTATTTCTTCAGTCAAAAGAGTTGTAAGGCGTGGAATAGCCCGAAAAAGACGTGTGGAGGCCGGGGCCATAAAAACAGTTTTAAAAAACAAGGTTTGATAAGAAAAAATTTTGAACATAAGAAAAAAAGGAACCCCGGCAGGAGGCCTACTGGCCCCTGGAGGCAGGTCCAAGGGTTTCCCCCGGCTTTTAAACCAATGCACCCCAAAACCCAGTCAGGTCATGGTCACATTGACTTAAGGGGGGGAACACCGGGCCCAAACCCACCTTTAGACCAAGCCCATCAGGTTTTCCCAAAATCCACCCACCCCCCAAACTACTCATGTATTTATTTCCCAAACCCATTTTTTTTAAACTTTCACCAAAGTACTGGCCTTATAAAAGGTTTCTTGGGAGTTTGTTCCACTCATCCCCAAATCTATTACCAACCCCCGTTTCTTTTCCTATTCCCCCCTGAATTTTGAATTTTTCCAAAATTTTAAAAACCCTTGCTGCGAGTCCGTCTAGGCTAGATATTTTCAGCACACTTTTTAATCCCCTTTATTTATTCCTGTCTTCCCCTTATACACCCAAACAATATCCCCCCCCAATTCTACGTCTTTCTAGAGAGTGCCCGTTTCGGGCCCCTTTGTCTTTTCCCCATAGGGAAGGTTTCTGATACATGGGGTCTTTTTTGTCAACCTCCTTTGTACATTTTTCCAGGGAATTTTTATCCTTCTGTAATACGGGGACCCAAAATGGCAGCTAATCTAAATGAGGCCTAACCCCGGATTTTTTAGAGTTGAAGAAAAAACCCCGGGACTCCCATTTTTTATGCTTTTGATATGAAGCCCAAAGGGGTTTATTTGCTTTATTGCGAAAACTTTGCAATGTTGTCTTGGTTTTTTTAATTACTGCTAACCCGAACTCCTTTAAAACTTTTTCGCAATCCCTAATATTTAAGGGGTTAATTATTTTTGTTTATATGTGGCGGGGTTTTTGTCCTGTCCAACTTTTGAAAATTTTTCATTTGTCTATATTAAAAATGCATTGCCACTTCTCCGCCCCTGCTTTGTTATTCAATCTTCCCCGGAGTGCTCGAATGTCCTCGTCAGAAAAGAATTCGGGCGGCCCATTTGGTTTTCTTTGGCAAACTTGCGATGTCGCTTTTTGCCCCCCATTATGTCGTTTTTGTAATTTTGAACAGTTGGGGGCCCAACAATGACCCCTGTGGAACCCCCGCCGTGACGCTTCCCCACTCTGTTTTTCCCTTTATGCAAATCTCTGCTGCCCATTTTTCAAACCCTGCTCTATCCCGGGGAAAAAAATTTTTCCTCCTATTCCATGTGCTTTAATTTTTCCCAATAGTCTCTGTGTTTGGGGCCTGTTTAAAAAACCTTACTGAAGTTTCCCTATAAACAAAATCATTTTAAATTTCCTTTATCTTTCCTCCTTTAATAAACCCTTTGTGAAAAAAATTAATAAAAAATTCGAAAGGAGGGAAAGCGGGGGGAGGAGGGCCCCAGTAGAAAAGGTTTAAAAGGGGGGGGCCCGGAGCTAGGACTTTGCCCCCCGAACCACAAAAAGGTGAGCACAAATAGGTGAGTACACACCCCACCACAAATACACCCACCCACACATCCACCACCCAAAACACAAAACACACACACAAAAACACCACCAAAATATTCCACATACACACTCACAACACCCCACACACACACACACACAAACCACCCCACACACCACCACCCCAAACTTTCACACACAAGCACACCACACAAAACACACACACACACTGCACACAAAAAACAACACAAACATACACCACACACCACAACCCCAAAGGGCCCCCCCCGGGCTCCCCGCTCTTTTCCCCAAACCCCCGTTTTCCCCCCGGACCACAGTTTCAGTTTTTACAAAAGAAGTTGAAGGTTTTTTGGGACACAAAAAGCAGATGGATTTTAAAGAATAAAAATTTAGGAATGGCAAGAAAAAAATCCAAAGAGAAGTTTCCCCCCGACATCATAGCAGTTACAGGGGAAACAAAAACTAAAGGGGACAATACAGATGCAATCTTCCCACCAAGGGTACCAGATTATGAGGAAAAAAAAGAAGGGGAAAAAGGGGGGGGGAGGGGTACTCTGCCCCGTTAAAAAAACCGATGGAAATTCGAGAAAAAAGGGGGGGGCATAGACGAGACAGGAGAAAGGGAATACATAGGTTAAAATTCAGTCTGGGGAGCACAAAGGGGGTTTTTTGCAGTGATGTATAATCCCCCACAGAACTGCAGGAGGCCAAGGGGAGGAATTTTGAAAAAAAAGCAAAAAAAAGCAAAAAGGGGGGACCCCACTTGCTGAGGTGGCAAGAAGTGCTCCCCTCCAGCCCGAGCAAAAATTGCTGGTTATGGGGGATTTCAACCCAAAGGGGGATTGAAAGGGGAAAAACCCGGGGGCCACTTTTGGGGGGGGCCCCAAACATGGGGAAAACCCAAAAGTTGGGAGGGGTGCTGGAAAACCTATTTCACCAACATTTTTAAGGACATTACCAGAGTTTAGAGGGGAGGGGGGGGAACCAGCAAAATTGGACCTTTTGTTCACCCCCGGGGGGAGTTTCAGACATTTAGGACTCACATATGAGAGTCCCCCAGGAGTAGTGCCCTGTGGTTCTGTGCTTTGAATACATGTAGAGTTGCAAGTGGAGGGAAAAGTAAAGGAGTTGAAAAGGGGGAAAAACCTGACTATAAAAGAGGGGACTACATAGGGTTTAGGAAAATTCCCGCAGGGGGGTTCGTGGGACAGAGAACTGGAGGGAAAACCAGTTTAAAAGAAATGAGGAAAAATGTAACAAAAAAAATGAAGGGGCAGTGGGGAAAGGGTTTTTTCCCAAAAGGGGACAAAACAATTTGGGAAAAAACCAGAACAAGCCCCCGGTTTACCCGACGGTGAAAAGGGGGCAAAAACAAAAATGCAATTTTTTAAAAGGAAAAAAAATAAA